TTCTGTAACCCGCATCCTGTAAGATCTTCTCTCTGCTTTGCTAAAGGCCAGAGTGGGGAGGTGGGAAGAAGTTGTCTCCCTTCCTTCAGCTCAGAGCTCAGAGCAGGAGCAGAACTCAGGACTAGCAACGGGCCAGATAAGCTGAGGGTCAAGTTGGGGAGGGCCGGGGCAGGCCAGCCTGTTTATTCTAAGTTGGAACGTCGCTGCTCAGGGTCTGAGGGTCTCCCTTTCTTGCATCCATCCTTTGGCCATCTGCCATCTTTTTTGGAGGGGCTATTTGAACCCTGCCCCGATTGCATGCTTGATGTTGGGCATCTCATCCATGTCTGGTCTCAGGATAGGCGGTCAGATGGAAGCAGCTTCTTTTCTTTTTTACTGTGCGGATTAGATTCCCCTTCGACAGTTTGTACATAAAGTGTTTCATGGCCTTGGTTTCACTCCCCACAGTGTGTCAGCACTCTCCCCATTTCCGCCCTCTGCTTCCCATTTCCTTTCGTCCTGATTTTTTTACCCTTTCCTGCCTTCTCATCTTTGCTTTTGGGCAAATATTGCCCTTTTGATCTCTAAATTGTTCTAAGGAGCACACTCCTCTGGGGCGTTATTGTTTATTTTATGGGCTTGTCTATTGTTTGGTTGGAAGGTGGTCTCCAGGAATGGCTTCAGTTCCAGAGCAGAAGGGTGTCTTAGGGCCATAGTCTTGGGGGTTCCTCTCGTCTCTGTCAGACCAGTAAGTCTGTTCTTTTTTGTGCATTTGATTTTTTGTTCTACATTTTTCTCCCACTCTGTCCAGGACCCTCTGGGAAGCAGGTTCTTTTCATCTGGGCCCAGCCCTGCTTTTGGTGGTAGGATGTTGTTGTCGTGCTTAGCTGCCATCCACCCGGCCCCAACTCATGACGACCTCATGCACAATGGAACAAAATGCTGTCCAGCCCTGCGCCATCCCCATGATTGGTTATAGATCGGACCCATAGAGTTTTCATTGGTTGATCTTCGGAAGTAGATCGCCAGGCCTTTCTTTAGGCTAGGGCCTGTCTTAGTCTGGAAGCTCCTCTAAAGCCTGTTCAGCATCGTAGCAACACGATATACACCCCATATCTGGGGCCAGATTCCTAAGTGTGGACAAGATGCCAAGTTTATGGATTTGCCAGCTCCCCTGTTTCACTCTGGCTTTGGCTCCCTAGTTGCTCCCCAGATTGCCAGGGTTCAAAGAGAGAAGGAGACTAGTTACCCTGGGCAAATCGTGGGTGGCCTCCTCCTGCTCCCACCTGGGGCCATCACGGGGTCTGAGCTCCTCCACAGCCCCCGCCCTGCCTCCTCCCCCATCATGTCCAGTGCTCTGGAGGCTTCTACTCTCACCGGCTCCTTTTCACAAGCTCTCCTGCCATATGCAATCTGCTAAACTCATTCATACGAAGGAGTGAATCAATAATAATGATTGCTCCTTTCTGGAGTCTGCATTTCAGCAAGTGGTCAATGCTTTAATTTGAAAAAAGGGAAGAAATACAGACACGTGCCTGGGGGAAGGGTAGACCCAGTGAGAGACTTCTGAGGAGCCATCTCTCTTTGGGGAGGTCACCAGGCACATCCTCCTCTACATGGAGCTAAGGCTGAAGCCATGGGCCCATTTGCCTCCCCGTCGCCAGCCCTGTGGGGTGGGAAGCTGAGAGCCAAAACTCAAGCCGCCTATTATAGAAGTCTGTCCACTGTAACCCAGGGATGTCAGCAGAATTGAACTGTGAATCAAAAACTGGAACAAATCGCTTTTATTAGCTAAGCCCCAAACCTAATTCAAATAGTATCTCTTCACTGGACTGTGAACCAGCTTCATTATCTCCTTCCCCTGCAGCTTACCAGTTAACCCAGAATTGAACTAAGAGTTTTTCAAAAACTTAGAGCCCCTGCTGGACAGGAACTTACTAACCATCCAGCTAGCCAATGCCACCCATTTTATAGGGAAGGACACTGAGGCCTTGAAGTTGTGGCCCAGCTCAAAGCCACATGGCACCTCAGATTTGACTCTTCACTCTGGTGGGTATTGTTAGCTGCTGTTGAGTCGGCTCCGAATCATGGCAACCCCGTGTAGAGCAGAAGGAAATGCTGCCTGGTCCCGTGCCATCCACATGATCCCTGGCATGCTTGAATCCATTGCTGCCTTCCAACCTAGGGGTCTCATCTTCTAGCACTATACTGGGGACAATGTTGTGTTGTAATCCATAGGGTTTTCATGGGCTAATTTTCAGAAATAATTTGCGGGCCTTTCTTCCTAGTCTGTCTTAGTCTGGAAGCTCAACTGAAACCTGCCCACCATGGGCGACCTTGATGGTATTTGAAATACCGGTGGTGTAGCTTCCACTGTCATAGCAACACACAAGCCACCACAGTACGGCAAACTGACAGATGGGTGGTGGGTTACTCTGGTGTCCCTTTACTGTCTCCACTGTTTCACGTGATCTTTCGACTCAGAACTCAAGAGATTCTGAGCTGTGTTATCAATTGTGTATGAAGAGTCTTTCTTAAACTAAAACGTCAGTAACCCAAATGAGAGATGGGTGGCAACGTTGGAATTCTCCCAGCCATCTCTGCTTTCCATAGCCCTTGAAAATCAAACAGAAAGCTTTAAAATCTGTTGTGCCTTTGGTTTATATTATTGCTAATATTATCGTTGTTTTTCTTACTTACTTTGATTAACCTACTCATTTATAATTTACCTTTCAAAGATTATAACTTCTTTTCAATCAGTAATTCTTAACCAGGGGATATTTTGCCCCTAGGGGATATCTGACCTTATATCTGGAGACATTTTTGGTTGTCGCAACTGGGTTCTACTGGCATGTAGTGGGGAGAGGCCAGGGATGCCGGTAAACATCCAACAAAGCACAGGACAGCCCCACAACAAGGAGTTGTTGTTAGCTGCTGTTGAGTCTCCCCTGACTCATGGTGACCCCATATCCAACAGAACGAAATGCTGCCCGGTCCTGTGCCAGTCCCGTGATCTGCTGCGGATCGGACCATTGTGGTCCACTGGATTTTCACTGACTGATTTTTTTTTTTTATACTTTAGATGCAGGTTTGCAGAGCAAATTAGTTTCACATTAAACAATGACTACACGTATTGTTTTGTGACGTTGGTTGCCAACCCCATGACATGTCAACACTCTCCCCTTCTCGACTTTGGGTTCCCCGTTACCAGCTTTCCTGTCTCCTCCTGCTTTCTTGTTTTTGCCCCTGGGCTGGTGTGCCCATTTAGTCTCTTTTTGTTTTATAAGCCTGTCTAATCTTTGACTGAAGGGTGAACCTCAGGAGTGACTTCATTACTGAGCTATAAGGGTGTCAGGGGCCATACTCCCAGGGTTTCTCCAGTCTCTGTCAGACCAGTTAAGTCTGGTCTTTTTGTGTGTGTAAGTTAGAATTTTGTTCTACATTTTTCTCCAGCTCTGTCCCTCTCTTGTGATCTCTGTCAGAGCAGTCAGTGGTGGTATCTGGGCACCATCTAGTTGTGCTGGACTCAGTCTGGTGGAGGCTGTGGTAGTTTGGTCCATTAGTCCTTTGGGCTAATCTTTCCCTTGTGTCCTTGGTTATCTTCATTCTCCCTTGCTCCAGACGGAGTGAGACCAGTGGAGTATCTTAGATGGCCGCTCACAAGCTTTTAAGACCCCAGGCGCTACTCACCAAAGTAGGATCTAGAACATTTTCTTTATAAACTATGTTACGCCAGTTCAGCCCCCATTCACTGGCTGGTTTTTGGAAGTAGATTGCCAGGTCTTTCTTCCTAGTCTGTCTTAGTCGGGAAGTTCTGCTGAAACCTGTCCAGCATCACAGCAACACACAAGCCTCCACTGACAGATGGGTGGGAGCTGCGCATGATTTGCATGGACTGGGAGTTGAAGCCAGATCTCCTACATGGATGCCGAATTTCTACCATTGAACCACCATTGCCCCCGTAACAAAGGATTATTATCCATCCCAAAGTGTCAGTAGTGCCCAGGTTGAGAAACTGTGATCTAAATCAACACAAAGAGAAAAAAAAAAGTGTTCTGCAATTCTCCTACCTTAACAAACCAAACTCTTCATTTTTCCGCATGCCTCCCAGCCTCCGCCCACCGTGCGTACTTCAGTTCCTCCAGTTCTCGTAATAATGGCCGTAATGCACTCTACATTCACTTTTCTTCACTTACTCTTGCATCCTGAGCTTTTCTACCTCGTGCCTGCTCGTCTTCATAGTTACCGTTTTTAATGGATGTGATATAATACTCTAGGAGGTTGAGACCCCGTATTTTACCTGACCAGTCCGAGTTTCTCATTGGCATGTTTTTTGAGGGACACGCTAAGCGGGCTACAGGTGATGGGAGTGGCTTGCAAGGCCCTCCTGGGCCAGCCGCCTCCTCCTTCTCCAGCCCAGGTATCAGCATCATAGTCTTCATCATCAAAAGGCCTTTATGAAGCGCCTTGGTGAATATATCCCGGCCTCCAGGCTGGGGGGCTGGGAGGAGCTTCTGCAGACATCTTCCCACCAGCCCCTAACATCCGGGGCTTGCTGGCTCAGACAGATAGCATATATGTCTGCCCACCACAGAGGCATCCAAAGGCTGGGCTGTGGTCCCCATGTAGAGGGTACAGAGCCAGATCTTTAGGCGACGTTCATGCCAAGAGTAAGTGTGTCTGGGCTGCAGACAGGCTAGCTTCCCGGAGGGAGCCTGGGCCCTGCCTTCTCCCCTGCAGCTGCCTGGAGGCTTCTTAGAGGACCAGGGATTTTAGAAACCATTGGGAGGGAGGGAAGGAAAGGGGGTGGGGGGAGAAGGAAAGAAGGAGAAGGGAGGGAGGGAGGGAAGGGAAGAGAGAGGAGGGAGGGGACAGGGAGCAGGTCAGTGGGCCTCCAACTTGGGGTCAAGTGCCCCAGGCTCCCAGTGCACAGCCTAGGAGAACACCAGAGGTCCGCAGAGCTGTTCTTCCTCAGACTCCCACGCCCCTCCCCTCACCAGCACCCGTTCTTCTCCCCGCAGGTGTTCCATGAGCAGGGCATCATCTTTGGCTACCGGCACCCGCAGAGTTCGGCCACTGCCTGCCTTCTCAGCCTTTTCCAGATGAACAATGAGACCCTCAACATCTGGACTCACTTGCTGCCCTTCTGGTATCTCCAGGCCCCCTTGACTAGTCTGTCTCATTCAGGAGCCCCGGGAACTGGGGATTCTCTGAAACACAGCTGGGTTTGGGAGGGCGGAGACTCTGAGCTGGGATTTTGCCCTCCCCCCATCCCCATCAAAACCGATGCATGGGTGTGGAGGTGGGTGATGTTGGAGCCTGTCACTGGGATGAGCTTTAGGGCCTGGGCTGTGGTAGGATTCGAGGTGCTCCTGATAGCCCCCCAGACTTGCCCAGCTCCCCTGCCCTAGTGCCTGATGGGGTAATATTATTTTCATTTCCTTTGGTCTTGGAGGGTTTCTGGGTCTTCCAGAAGCCCTGGTTAAAATGCCTGTAACCTGAGCAAGTCACTTCACCTCTCTGAGCTTCACATGTCCCCATCTGTGAGGCAGGTATGGTCGTTGTCCCTCCCCAGGGTGCTGTGAGGGTTACGTGAGAGGACATGGGTAAAGGCGCTGGGCACAGAGCTGTGGACCACCATGATGGCTCTGGAGGCACTTTATCAGGCGGCACTTGAGTGGCGCCAGCTAAGTGTGAGGCTCTGGGGAGTACTTACACAGAAACGGGAGCTGCAGAAAGGTGAAGAGGGCCTTGCTGAGAAAGGTGGGGCGGAGACCAGCTTCACATGCCTCACAACTTTGCTTACTGAGTGGACATTGGAGATGGGGTCAGAATGCAGAAGGACCTCACAGTGTGTCAGAGCTGGAAGGACCTCAGAGGTCATCCAGGTCACCCTCCCTTTCAGGCCACTGTTGGCTGACATATGTGTGGCCTAAGGAAGAGGTGACTTGCTTATATCACCCACCACATTGTGGCAGAGGCTGTCTCTGGACTCCCACTGCAACCATGTTGAGAAGCTGAGAGTAGGAGGGACCCAGGGAGGGCTGTGATGGGAGACGGCGCCCAGGAAGGCCCACATGCTTATTGGTCCAGTTGTGAGGATTTTTGTTTTTTTTTATGTTGAGAGGTAATCCATACTGAAGGCTGTAGTCTTTGCTCTTCATCAGTAAGTGCTTCAAGTCCTCTTCACTTTCAACAAGCAAGGTTATGTCATCTGCATATCGCAGGTTGTTAATGAGTCTTCCTCCAGTCCTGATGCTGCATTCTTCATATACTCCAGTTTCTCGGATTATTTGCTCAGCATACAGACTGAATAAGTATGGTGAAAGGATACAGCCCTGATGCACACCTTTCCTGATTTTAAACCACAGAGTATTCCTTTTTTCTGTTCGAACAACTACCTCTTGGTCTATGTACAGGTTCCTCATAAGCACAATTAAGTGTTCTGAAATTCCCATTCTTTGCAGCGTTATCCATAATTTGTTTATGATCCACACAGCTGAATGATTTTGCATAGTCAGTAAAACACAGGTAAGCATCTTTCTGGTGTTCTCTGCTTTCAGCCAAGATCTATCTGACATCAGCAGTGATATCCCTTGTTCCATGTCCTCTTCTGAATCCGGCTTGAATTTCTGGCAGTTCTCTCTCAATGTACTGCTGCAACCACTTTTGAATTATCTTCAACAAAATATTACTTGCATATGATATTAATGATATTGTTCAATAATTTTCCAAATTCTGTTGGATCACCTTTCTATGGAATGGGCACAAATATGGATCTCTTCCAATCAGTTGCCCAAGTAGCTGTCTTCCAAATTTCTTGGTGTAGACGAGTGAGCACCTCCAGCGTTGCATTCGTTTGTTGAAACATCTCAGTAGATATTCCGTCAATTCCTGGAGTCTTGTTTTTTTGCCAATGCCTTCAGTGCAGCTTGGACTTCTTCCTTCAGTACCATCGATTCTTGATCATATGCAGCCTCCTGAAATGGTTGAACATTGACCAATTCTTTTTGATACAGTGATTCTGTATTCCTTCCATCTTCTTTTGATGCTTCCTGCATTGTTCAATATTTTGCCCAAAGAATCCTTCAATATTGTATCTCAAGGCTTGAATTTTTTCTTCAGTTCTTTCAGCTTGAGAAATGCCTAGCATCTTCTTCCCTTTTAGTTTTCTAACTGTAGGTCTTTGCACATTTTGTTATACTTTGTCTTCTCAAGCTGCTCTTTGAAATCTTCTGTAAAAAGTACACATGCTAATAAATTACAGCATTGCACAAGGGAATGGAGTCAGTTTCTTCCCCAGGCGCCTAGTTCTCCCTTGGTTGACCCACTCTTGCCCGTTCTCCCAGAGCTCTGCTTGGGGCGTGTGAGCATCTAGGACATACGTGCTTCCCCGGCCCCGGTTCTTTTCTCCCGGTGCTCTTTCCCTTTGCAGTAGAGCATGGACACCTTGCCCTGTCAGCACCTGCACATCTCTCAGGCTTGAACAGCTGCGTGGTATTCCATTCTATGGATGAGCCAGAATTGATTGAGGCTGTTTGGATTTCTGTGCCTCTACAGAGTGCTGCCTTGTCCATCCTTGTGTGGGGGTCTTTGGGCTCCTGTGCGAGGATTCCTGGGGGATGGCTTCATAGCTGTTTTGCAGCCCAGCCAAGCTGTCCGAGGCACACCCACTGTGCACAGCACCCCTACTCTGTGCTGGCTCTGAGGGATGATTCCAGTGGAGCAACATGGAGTAGCAGGAAGGGCTTGGGAAGGCCTGGATTAAGGTGCCCTAAGGAAATGGGGAAAGGAGCCCTAGTGGTGCAGTGCTTAAAGCGCTTGGCTGCTAACCAAAAGGTGAGTGGTTTGAGTCCTGCAGGAGAAAGATGTGGCAGACTGCTTTTGTAAAGATTACAGCCGTGGATACCCTATGAGGCACTTCTACTCTGTTCTATAGGGTCGCTATAAGTTGGAATCCACTTGATAGTAACAGATTTGGTTTTGGGTTTTTAAGAAATGGCGGTGGGGCAGTAGTGGTTCAGTGGTAGAATTCTTACCTTTCATGCAGGAGACCCGGGTTCTATTCCTGGCCAATTCACCTCATGCGCAGCTACCACCCATCTGTCAGTGGAGGCTTGTGTATTGCTATGATGCTGAATAGCTTTCAGTGGAGCTTCCAGTAAGACAGACTAGGAAGAAAGGTCTGATGATCTACTTCTGCAAATCAGCAGTGAAAACCCTCTGATTTGGAGTCCCTGGATGTCACAAACGGTTAAGCGCTGGACTACTATCAGATAGGTTGGTGGTTCAAACTCACCCAGTGGCAGCTCCGAAGGAAGGCCTGGTGATCTGCTTCGAAAGATCACAGCCTTGAAAACCCTATGGAGCGCAGTTCTACTCTGCACACACGGGGTTGCCATGAGTTGGAATCAACTTGACGGCAACTAACAGCAACAACACCGGATGGCTCGCTCGTGCACTGAAAAACCCTATGGAACACAACAGTCTGTTCTGCAGCCAATTGTGGGGATGGCCCAGGCCCAGGCCCAGGCAGCATGGGGTCCCCATGACTTGGGGACCGACTCGATGGCAGCTAACACCACCACCAAGAATAAGCTTGAGATGACAAAGAGATTTTTTTTTTTAAGTCGTATTTTATTACGTTTTCAGTGAAGGTTTACACAACAGTTTAGGTTTCATTCCACAAATTCTACACAAATTGTTCAGTGACCTTGGTTGCATTCTTCACGATGTGTGAACATTCTCAATATTTCTGGTTGGTCCATTTCTATTAATCTAGTTTCCCTGCCCCCTTATATTCTCACCTTCGTTTTAAAGGAAACGATGACCCTTTGGGCAAAGGAATATGTTTTGAGAAACAGGAGATTGTGTAAGCTTATTTCTGCTGGGACAGGAAGAAAAAGCCCTCCAGCATAGCCAGAAGGATTTAGCAATGCTCCTTCAGATCCTTCGACAAACACTTTATAGAGCCTCCTTTCCTGGAGGAGTCAGTGGAAGAGGAAGAGCCATTCCCTAGGAACAGTTTACAGAAGTGGAGGACTCTACAGGCAGGGCCCCCAGGCGTGGGTTAAAGGTTAGGCAGATCTGACGCAGATCTGTTCAGTATCTCTGCTTACAGATGGAGGCTGGAGATTTGTGCTTGGCTCAGAGACTGCTGTGGGCCCCTCAGAAAAACGATTGCAGTCTTAGTGGAGGAATACTGTGGACGAGGAAGGAGAAGATAGTTCTATTGTCCTCTAGATGTCCCAGACCCCACGTGGGGCATTGCTTCTGTGGGAGGAGCTTTCCCAAAGACAAACCACAGGGATGGTAAAAGGTCAGATCCGGATCATGTGCATGATGGTCAAATGAACTGGGGTTATTTAATGTGAAGCTCAAGGGTACGGGTGTGTGTGTGAAGACTTCCTTAAAAATTTTGATGGGTTTATTGTCTGTAGTCCTGATGGGGAGATCTAAGGCTGATCAATGGAGACAGATTCCGGTTCAATGAGGGAGAACCTTCTCCAACACTCACAGCCACCTTGGGAGGTGGTGAGCACCCTATCCCTGGAAGCATGCAAGCTGAGGCTGGAGAATCATTTGGGCAAGATGCTGTAAGAGGAGAGGGGAAAGAATGAGATAAACCCTAAAGGCTCTTTTATGTCCCTTCTGCCTATTCCCAACCTATTGCCTCCCAAGTGAAAAAGGACCTCTGTCCCCCCTCGCCTAGCTTATAGCATTTCACCAAAGTGAGAACAACTAGGGATTGGTCATCCCAGGGGCATGGAAGACAGAAGAGAGGCAGGTGGAGTGCATAAGAGGAGCCCCCGCCACAGAGGGTGAGTGGGGCCATGCTCTGTTCCAGGTTCTTCATGTGGAGGTTTGTGACTGTGCTGTATGTGACAGATGTCCAGAATGACAGCTACTCCTGGCCTCTGCTTGTGTACATGGGCACCAGCTGCGTGTACCCCTTTGCATCCAGCTGTGCACACACCTTCAGCTCTATGTCCAAGAATGCCCGACACATCTGCTACTTCCTGGACTATGGTGCTGTTAACCTCTTCAGCCTGGGTACGTGAGGCCCTGCTGTCACCTTCCCCTCTCTGTGAATGGGCCACTTGGCCCTTCCCCCCGTATGAGTTGGGGTCACCATAAGGCTTTGATGGGTTTGCACAAGCGTCATGGGACTACTAGTGCTCCTGTCCAGGTGCCTGATGAGTGTTCTGTAAGAAACTTCTCCAAAGGTGTGCTGGTAAATGTTCACCACTGGCTCTCTAGGGAAGAAAGCCCTGATCTGCAGTGTTTGCTGATGTCCCTGGTGTAAATACTCCCACCCTGGCTGATATGAAGCTACCAATAGGAAATCATTGAGTGAAGAATTGGGAAGATGTATGCACCATCCATGTAATTCTGCTGTACAGATACAGTAGAAGCAAATTGGGTGCTTCTTTTGTGAATGTAATGTATTTAATGTAAGCTTATGCAGTTTACGTTTTGATGACGGCTTTTAACTGATCGCAAGATTTCTGGAACTTTAGCAGTTGGCGCTCACAGTCCAGGATGAATGACTGCAGCCCCTCAGTGCTGCTCCCTGTTGTGCCTGGTAGAGAAGCTGAGTGGGGTCGTGAACGCCATGCCCCGAGGCTTAGAGGAATTAAGAGATTTGCCCAAAGGCCCGCAGGAACTGAGTGGTGAACCTAAACTGATAAAGCTGGATGTTAACACCTCCAACCTCCTGGTCTTTTCCTCCAGCTATGATGCCCCTGACCCCTGCCTCTTCTTCCCTCCTCCCGCTTGTGTTCCCTGCCCATCTGCCAGCATCCTAATTCTAGCCTCTTCCTTCCTCCTGATTCTGCTCTGGGTGTGAAACCTCGCTATTGCCTTCCCTTGTCCAGGAGGAGGTTGTCCACTAGGAGGGGCCCACCTCCATCCTATTTCCCCTTCTCTCTTTTCCTTCACAGCCAGTGTTGTAGAAGTCACACACACACATACTCACAGGCACACACACGTACACACATACACTCACACACACCCACACATAGACACATACGCACACACATGAAATATACACGCACCCAGAGACACGTGCACATGCATATACATACATACACACAGGCACATACACACACACACACACACACACACACACACACACACACACACACACTGCACTGTCCTTATCACCTCACCTCTCACTTCGCAATGCTCTGCTATCTGGTCCCCACCATTCACTCAAACTGTGGCTGCCGAGGCCCCAACCTCCTCCGTGCTGTCAGAAGCAGGGCGGGCTTTTCTGGCCTCATCTTCTGGGATCTCCTGCCAGCCTTTGATGCGGGGGCCCCTCAGTCCTCCTCCACTCCCTCTCTGTCTTTGGCCTCCCGGCCTTCCTTCTGCCCCTTCTCACTCATTCTTCCCCTTCCTCTGCTGTTCCTTATAGGTGGGCGAGTGGAGAAGCTGTCCTCAGACCTCTTCCTTACCTTGGGTGATCCTCTCCATGCCCACCCTCCGCTAACACCTCTGGGCAAGGTGCTCCCAAGCCCCATCTCTAGTTTAAGGTGCTCACCTGAGGTCCAAGCTGTGGACTGAGACTGCCGGCACCTTCCCAGTCCCTGCCCCCAGATCTCCTCCTCCTGTAATGTCCCTCCTGGCTAGTGGTTCTCCCTCCCACCTGGTCTTCCAAGACCCAGATCTGTAGATAATCCTCAAGTCCCTCCTCCCCCGCCCTTCCTGACTTCCTCCATTCTGTCCAGTCAGGGTCAAGCCCAGCTGAGTCTCCCTCAGAGTCCTCAAATCGGCCTGTCCCCATGCCCATCACCTGAGCTGTTACCACACCCTCCTGTCTGCCTGTCCGTCCTCCCTCTGTGTTCCACGCAAGGGCACGCATGTCTGAAGCAATCACTATGTGGCAGGCACCCTGTGGAGCATCTGACGTACATCGCTGAGGGCAGGATTACACGGTGCTGACAGGCTCAGATTCTGGAGCCAGACTGCCTGGGTTCAAATCCTGCCACTGCCCCCTAATTGTATGCTCTTGGGCACATTTCTTAACCTCTCCAAGCCTCAGTTCTCTCATCTGTAAAATCGGCACGATTTCTTCCTTGTAGGGTTGTATGACATTACATGAGCTTATATTAGTGAGGCACGCAGGACAGGGCCTGGCACTCAGTAAGCCTCAGAGGGGGAGGTCATTCCTGTGACGATCTCATCAACCCTGACAGACATCCCCTGAGGTGGGTACCACTATTATACTTGTGTTCTCTGTGAGCAAGTGAGCCTCGTGAAGATAAGTTACTCAGGGCCACTCAGCTGATAGTGGCAGAGCCAGGGTTAGTACCCACCCACACTGTCAGCCCCGCTCTGGATTGCCTTCACTCGGCTCACCATGGTCTCCACTCAACATGGACCCTGTATGGACCCTGTGTCCTGTCCTCCCTCCCTGCAGGGCCTTCAAGGCGCAGCCCCTGGACCCTCAGTGGCCCCTGCTCTGGGACCTTCCTCCAAGCCCTCAGGCCTGGATCCACCTCTGTGGTTGCTCTGATCTCGGCCCTTATCAGCAACTCCATCATTTCTCTCCCCTGCTGGGAACTACTCCCTGAGGACAGGAGACCTGCCTTTCCTCTTGGAGCCCTGGTGGCGCAGTGGTTAAGAGCCCGGCTGCTAACCAAAGGTTGGCTGTTCAAATCCACCAGCTGCTCCTTGGAAATCCTATGCGGCAGTTCTACTCTGTCCTGTAGGGTTGCTGTGAGTCGGAATTGACTCGATGGCAATGGTTTGGTTTTTGGTTTATTTGGTTTTCCAGCCTGAAGCCCCATGTTTGGCTTTGGGAGGTAGTCAATAAACATGAACGGAAGGAAGGTCCACCAAGTCAACTGATAGCACCTGTTGATTCTGCCGCTGACATTTGCTCCGTCTTCTGCAGCCACCTTCTCTTCCCCTTTCTCACTCCTGCGACACTTGTCCAAGCCCTTACTCCCTTGAGCATGGCATTTGCTCCCTATTCCTCCCTGGTTTCCAGCTCTTCCTGCCTCTAAACCATCCTATGCACCTTCACTAGGTTTTGGTCGTATGAGTCCCCCACTCAAGGACTCTCAGTGGCTCCCTATTGCTGAGAGAGGAAGTGCACTTTCCTTAGCCCAACAACCATCTGCTCCCATGTCCTGGAAGATCTCTGCTGCCCTCCTGCACCTGTTAGAGTCCTGCTGTCCTTCTGGGGCTGGGTTCCGAGATCAGCTCCTGTGCCTGGTCCTTCACCTGCCCTGAATGCCCACCTCACCCTCCTGCCCCCTGCCAGACTCTGCTTCCTGTTGCAGTTCCTGGCAGGATCTGAGGCTCCCTTGCTCCTGTATTGCCCACAGAGCGTGGCATACACCTTGCCCATAGTTGGCTACCATTCAGCATACATGGAGTAAATGCTTCCAGGTCCTAGCATCAGGCAGAGGGAAGAGCTAATCTGTCCCCCTGGAGGCAGCTCCCAGCCGAAGTCCCCTGAGAGAGAGCATGTACAGGCATGGCAGTCCTCAGCCCTTTTGCCCATTTGACCCCTTTGCCTGTATGGCCCCAGGAGCATCATCAACTTCACTAGACTCCAGCTGCCAAACGGGATAAAAGGCAGAGGCTGAACTGTCCTGGCCGAGGCCTATTTCAGCCTTGAGCTAGGATTCCAGGGTTCTTCATGTTCTTGTGATAACAGGTGACCTTAGCCTGATTCCTCAGGCCCTGGACTGACAGGAAGGAGCCCTGGTGGCTCAGTGGTTAAATGTTCGCCTGCTAACCAAAAGGTTAGCAGTTCGAACCCACCAGTCACTCTGCAGGAGAAAAATGTGGCAGTCTGCTCTCAGAAAGATTACAGCCTTGGAAACCCTATGGGGCAGTTCTACTCTGTCCTATAGGGTTGCTATGAGTCAGAATTGACTCAAGGCAACAGGTTTTTTTTGTTTTTTGTTTTGAGCGGCCAGGATTGGGCTTCCTCTCCTAGAGGGGACCTCGGCAGGTGAGGGCACCTACAGAGCACCGGGTCCTGGCCCCTCTCTCCAGGTGAAGTACACCTGAGCCCTTTGGAAAGGACCATCATCTCCCCTGTTCTTCTGAACAGAGGCTTCAGTAAAAAGGTCTCTAGAATGTTCTTAGGTAATCCTTGTCTCACAAACCCCCAACCTAAAACAAAACCAAACACCGTATTCCCAGCCCATTGTATGCAATATGCCTCAGAACGGCAAGGGCCCCTTCCCTCCCATATTGATCTGTCCACAAGGAGCCCCCCTGTTTTTTTGGGTGGGTGAAATGTTCCTACTCTGAGAGTAAAGCCAAGCACCCTGGGGTTGTAATCATGAGCGATAGCGTTTAGTTAAAAGCTGGGGACTCTGTCCCTAAACTGCCTACGTTTGAAGCTTGGCTCTGTTACTTTCTAACTGTGTGACCCAGCTGAGTTACTGAACCTCTCTGTGCCTCCATTTCCTCATTTGTAAAGTGAGGATAAGTGCAGGATGTATGCCAGAAGGTTGTTGTATGTGTGGAGTACATGAGTTAATATCCACAAAGTCCTTGGAACAATGCAGGGCCCGTAGTAAGTTCTCAGGAGAGGATTTAGGTAGGTGGAGAAGAGAGTGGAGGACATTCTGGGAAGGGTGATGGCACAAATAAGGATGCAGAAGCAAGACTACTTGTGGGCCTGTGGGAATGGCGGGGGCGGGGCTAGAGGCTGGGGATGGCGGGGGCGGGGCCAGAGGCTGGGGATGGCGAGGGCGGGGCCAGAGACTGAGGATGGCGAGGGCGGGGCTAGAGGCCGGGGATGGCGAGGGCGGGGCCAGAGGCTGGGAGAGTTCTTCCCGAGAGGCCAGATGGTGTTGAGTCCTGGCTTCTCTCCCAAGGTTGGTCTTTCTTTCCCAGGCTCAGCCGTTGCCTACTCTGCATATACCTTCCCCGACACGCTGGTGTGCACCACCTTCCATGACTACTACGTGGCCCTGGCTGTGCTGAACACCATCATCAGCACCGGCCTCTCCTGCTACTCCAGGTACCTGTTCTTTCTGATCTGCGATGGGGGTGGGGGCCTAGCATGCAGCTCCATGGCCTGCTGGAGGGAACAGCAGGAGAGGCAGCTCAGCACGAGGCAGGGAGCAGTGGAAAGGGCACTCAGGAGCCTGGGACTCAGTTCCAGATGGACCTCCTGTTCCTGGGCAGGGCTGGCTTCACGGCATGTGACCCTGTTCTCAGAAGGACCCTGCTCTTGTTTTAATGCTCTGCTGTCAATGTCTTAATAACGTTTGAACAAGGGGCCTGGCATTTTCCTTTTGCACTGGGCCCTGCAGATTATGGAGCTGGCCCTATTGCTAGGCAGCTCACTTATCCTCGTTGAACCTCAGTTTGCTCATCTATAAAATGCGGGCAGCACATCTACCTTCTGAGGCCATGTAAGGAGGACAAGTAATATACCCAGAGCACCTAGTGCGTAGGTGGTCCATTAATAGTCGCCGAGGGCCTGCCTCTACACACATGCGCTGGCTGATGGGTGACACATCCCCAGGGGAAGCCCCGTGGCCAGGATCCCGCCCAGCTCACTGGCTCTAATTCCCTCTATCTTTTCCTTTCACTCAGAAGGCTCACTGGAGTGTAAGTGCAAGAGGCTTTGTTATGGGAATCCCTACTATAGTTTATTCAGTTTGTGGCACAGGGGTTAAGAGCCTGGCTGCTAACCAAAAGGTCAGCATTTTGAATCCACCAGCCACTCCTTGGAAACCCTGTGGGGCAGTTCTGCTCTGTCCTGTGGGGTCACTATGAGTCAGAATCAATTCGACACAGCAGGTTTGGGTGATTTTGGTTGGTAAAGGTGAGCTGCCCAAAGTTCTAGTTCTCTGTATGACTTACAAAGCCTCACACATGGCTGTGCTGGGGTGACAGCCGTCTCCATGGTGCCAGGGTGCTGGGTACTTCCTGCGGGGGGACCTTCGGTGCCAGGTCACACCTGAGTCGTACCCCCATCCCAACCCCAGGCCCACCTCAAGGCCACAATTCCAAGGGGCCCATTTGAGTCTCCCTACTTAGAACCACTGCAGGCCTCAAAAACGGATTATTGCTTGTGCCCCTCTGTTCTCTATCCCACCCCTCCGGGAAGAGATGGGGAAGGAGGAGTTGCCCCTGTAACTTCTCCAGGATGATTTCAGCTCCAGCTTCCTCTGGTGACACTCAGGTTTTACAGGACTGAGAGAGAAGTAGGCACATTTCACAATCTTGACAAACTGGTTTATTTGTTTTTTAATGGGAAGGCTAGATTCTTAAACAGCATCAGGAACACTTGCCCCAACTTGCCTTCCGCTTCCCAATCCTGGACAGGCTGGGAGTGCGGTGTGAAAATCCGGCTTCCAGGTGCAGCCTCAACACCATTTTTTGTGTTGCTTTATTCCCTGCAAGTGCCTGGGAGTGAGGGGGAGTAAACACTCTCTTCCTTCTTCCTGGGGATTGCAGAGCTCCCCTAAAGCTGAGAGGAGATGGGGCAGACCCGCAAGACTGGAAACTAAGACCAGATATCATCATGGGGTTATTATTTCCTTCTCCCCCAACTCCTCGAGGACTCTGGCAATTGAAAGCTCATATTAAGCACCGCCTCTGTGCCGGGCAGGGACTGGGAGGGCTGCACTGATGATGGAGAGGGGAAGAAGGCCCAGCACATATAGAAAAGACACAACAATGCTAAAAGCAGCTCAGAGCCCTGGTGGCATAGTGGTTAAGAACTTGGCTGCTAACCAAAAGTCAGCAGTTCAAATCCACCAGTCGCTCCTTGGAAACCCTATGGGGCAGTTGTACTCTGTCCTGTAGCGTTGCTAGGAGTCAGAATGGACTCGACGGCAACAGGCAGGCAAAAACAGCTCGGGAGGGAGGACATGCGCACAGGGCCCGGGTGTGTGGGTGCATGGTCAGGATGTGGGCCAGGCACCTGGACACACCCGGATCTGCTCCTTGGACCAGTCATTGTCCCTGTGTGGTTGGCTCCTGCAGGGCCGTATAGCTGCAGTGTTTGGGATGTAGGCTTGGAGGGAGGAGAGCACTGCTGGCTGAGGGGACAGGGAAGGCTTCCTGGGTATGGAAGAAATAGTCCCCAGGGTTACTGACCCAGGACCGGTTTCCTGTGAACACTTGCTGCTTTTTGTTATTGTTGTTGTTAAGCTCCACGAGCCACCTAGAAGCTCCCAGGGTGAATTTTTCCCTTCTAGCCAGGAGTCCTCCCTGCTTGTTCAGAGACAATGGATGGGCGCTTTGGTACCTTTGGGTCAACTTGTCTGGCAGGGCAGCTTGGCCAAGAATCTTCTGAATGCCCGTGTTTGGAGGCCTCTCCTTGTAAATGTGGTGGATTCTTTTTATTTATAAGGCTCATCTGTGGCTTTTTCACCCTTCCTTCCTCCTTTCCTTCCTTGCTTCCATCCATTCATCCATCCACTCACCCACCCACTATCCTTCCTTTCTTCTTATCCTGCCTTCCTTCGAGGATCCATTCATCCTTTCATCCATCCATCCACTCACCTATCCTTTCTTCCTTCCTTCCTTCCTTCCTTCCATCCATCCGCCCACCCACCTACCCACCCACCTGATATTCCCTGAATGCTGCTGTGCTCCAGGCACCATTTGAAGACCTGCAGATTTCAGCAGAAGTAAAGTGCAGCCCTTGCCCTCCAAGAGCACCCAGTGCAGTTGGAGAGGCAGAGCACAGCTCCCCCAGGAAGCCCAGGATGGAGCCATCATTCGCTTTAGAGTGAACAGAGTGTAATACAAATAATGATAATACCAAATAATACCTGCTTTGATATACAAGGACTGAGGCCGACCACTCTAGCAGAGCCAACCGCCTGGACAAGGGTGAGGGGCTGGAGAAGATGAGATGTGATTGCACGCACCAAGGAGCATCATAGTTGCCAAAGTCTGTGAGGCTGAAAGGGGAAAAGTGGCTAGAGAGGGGCTGTGAAGGGAGGCTGGGGATTTGGAGCACCTCGTGTGCCCTACCAGGGACTGGCCATTTAGTCATGAAGGACAATAATCTTCCTGGAAAGAGAAGTCCCATGGCCTCAGCCTCCGTGCCGTAAAGGGCTTCTAGGTGTGTTAACACTTGCTGGAGCAGGACTGAGGCTGTGCAGGACCAGAAGGGAGGAAGGTGGCAACCACCACATTCTCAGAGCCAGATGGAGGGCGGTGTGTTCCCTTCTGTCGGCCCTTCTGGTTCTCTTCTCACCTTGTCCTCTTCCCTTCCCATGTTTGTGGTTTTCCCCAACCTTACAAGTCCTGTCCTATCTGTTTTCACTTCCTGTCCTTGGTCTGAGGAGTGAGAAGGATGACTCGTATGCCTGGAGTGACCGGCTGGCTCCATTAACAGCAGGAGAAGCAGATGGGGTGGGGTGCACAGGCCACTCGAGTCCCAGATCTCAGTCCTGCCCTACCCAGACTTGCTGTGTGGCGCTGGGATGGTCACTGCCCCCTCTGAGCTTCAGTGTCCACACTTGTTGAGAAGATGTCCTCTGGGCTCCATCCGTCCATCCATCCATCCATCCATCCATCCATCCACCTTCTTCCATCTTCTCTCCTTCCTTTCTCCCTCCCTCCCTCCCTTTCTCTCTTCCTTCCTTCCCTCCTTCCTTCCTTCCTCTTTCCCTTACTTCCTCCCATCCATCCACCCACCTGACATTCCCTGAATGCTGCTGTGCTCCAGGCACCACGTTCAGACCTGGGGATGCAGTGCTTCAGCGTCTTTCTCCGAGATCTCTTTCCTTGCCATCCTCCTCCTCCAAGCCCCACCCTGCTGACAGGGTCAGCCCCAGAGTGGCCGGGAGAGGCCAGAAAACCACCTACCCCTTCCCTGAGCACAGGAGACCGCAAGCTTTCCAAATGCTTACAAGAAAATGATGTTGGAAATTGCACTCATTCTACTACAATACACACCGTTAAGGTAAAGCTCAACATACAGAACGTTGTAGTCCCCTGAGTGGTTCTTGGTTCTTATTATCATGGAATGGGAGTCCCTGGGTGGTACAAACAATTAATGTGCTCTGCTGTAACCAAAAGTTTGGAGGTTGGAGTCCACCCAGAGGCACCTTGGACAAAAAGCCTGGCGATCTACTTCAAAAAATCAGCCATTGAAAACCCTGTGGAGCATCATTCTGCTCTGACCCACACAGGGTTGCCATGAGTTGGAGCTGACGTTTCGGCAGCTGGCCATGCAGCAGAACCTTGGGTGGTGCAAACCGTTTGTGCTCCACTACTAACCGGAATGTTGGCAGTTTGAACCCACCCAGCCACACCACGGAAGAAAGGGCTGGCGATCTGCTTCCATAAAGATTACAGCCAAGAAAACGCTGTGGAGCAGTTCTACTCTGTAACACAGGGGGTTGCCATGAGTTAGAATCGACTCCATGGCAACCGGTTTTTGGAATAATGGAATCTAGTTCAAATGAACATGTTGCAGAAAACTGCCCTCTCATTCTGTGGCATTCGAGAGGGGACATGAGAGGTTACATGACTCTCTGTGGTGCTTGGAACAAGGTGGGGTGAGGGAGGCCCCAGCCTGCTCATCCCTGTCGATTGCCTGCAGAGCCCAGGAAGGAGTCCTCATCCCTTTCAGAAAAGTTACTGTTTGCTGTACATCACAATTGACTGTAGTCACTTTTTCGCTCATCCATCCAAGGCATCCGACCTTTGATTTTTTGGACAAATACTTGTTGAGTGAAACGCCTTGTGGTCAGCTCTGTGAGGGAGAGATGAATTTTCTTCCCAGTAGGAAGTGAGCTTTGTTGTGGGATGACGCTGGGGCGGTTCAGGGTGGGGGGCATGGAGCAGACCTGGAAGGGGGCTTGGAGGTCAGAGCTGGGTATAGAAGGTTCTAGGATAAATCTTGAGGTCAGGGAGCTCGACCAGATGGCAAAGTGCTGCTAGTGCCTGGGCTATGGGCAGGCATGTGGAAATAGCCACGTTTCTGCAATTCTGCAAAATAGGAAACCACCAATAAACAACAATAAAACGTCCATAACCCCCCTCGCTCCCATGCCTCTGCCATGAAAAGATTTTTCCAAGTCACAGCCAGAGACCCACTAGCTTCAAGCACTAGTTCCAGAATCCTGGTTGCTAATCCGTCCATGTTTGCTGCAACAAGATTTGCCAGGTTTTACAACGACTAGTATTGAGTCAACCGTCTCTGAATGAAGGCGTTTCTGAAACCAGTGTTTTCCGGCAGCCTCCTTCTGGGCAGAGGAGGCCTGACTCCCCAAAACTAGTCCCTCCATGCGGGGCTGCAAGGACTGCCATAAGCGGAGGGCTTTGGAAACTTTGAGGGCAGGAGGTGAGGGGCTGCTTTGGAGGCTCTGGTGGCGCCTGCCTCATTTCCCGAATCTCTGGCTTTGGCGACACCCTGTGGTCAAATGCAGAATTGCACCTTAGTGTTGGGAGGCCCCTCTCTAGCTGCTGGCCTTTCTGCCTTTTTTTCTCTGTTGCTATCGCTCTCCTGGCCTGCTTTTTCTCCTTCTTTCTCCTTTGTAGACTCGGCTTTGCAGCTGGAGAGGCTGGTCCGTTTGCCCCTGGGGAAGCACTTAATCGGGCCAGGTGGAATGTTGTCTCAAGTCACAGGAAGTCCACGCTTTGGGGGATGATCCTGACCAGCCAGAGCCAGCCTTCTTCGTGTGTAAGTTGCACAGAAGGAGCACGCTTTAACAGCGAGCCTCTTTTAATCCGGAAATCGCAGGCAGTGGCGGCAGCAGTGCACCTGGAAGGAGGGGGTGGGCCTGCCGTGGCTGGGCAGGGGCTGCTGGGCTAGGTCCAGGAGGCAGAGCAGGCAGGCCCTTGGGGTTGAGGGAGGGTGTTCTGTTGGTCCCTGGGTACCAGGGCATGTGTGGATGGATGAAGGCGGTGGTCAGAGGCCTGCTTGGCCTGATAAGGGGGGAAAGAGTGTGAAACTTGGAGCCAGGCAGGCCTGGGTATAAATCCTGGTTTGGCCTCTTAGCTCATCTGATGCTAGGCAAACCACCGAGAACCTGTCTGCTCCTTCCTGTTCCTATTTCCTGGTCCAGCATAGTTACAAGGTAGGGAAAGGGAGAAAATGGATTCTCACAACACATATTTTTTAAAAAGCTACCATTTAGGAAGGACTTAACTCTGTGCTGTGCATGTTCTAACACCTCGTGAGTATCATTTCATCCAGTCCTTACAACCAGCCTAGGGAAAGGTGTAGTTATTACCCCTGTGGTACACACCCGGATTCCAAAGCACACAAAGGCTCCGTGACCTGCGGGGTCACCGGTCATGAATGGCAGAGCCGGGATTGGAACCCGGTCCTTCCAGGTCCAACACTTGACGATCAATCACCTAAGTCACGGCACTGCCCCGCCCCACCCCTCTGGGGTTTGTGCTTTGTCCACGGCTATGGTTCTTGTCTGAGGGGATGATGAACTGAGGTTCCTTGTTCCTCTTCCTCCTTCTCCTTGAACTTCCTCTTTTTTCTCCAGCCAGCGCCTGCCTTGTGCTCGTCTGATTCCCAGGCTGGGTCAGGAAAGGAGGAGGAACATGCTGGTGGGCTGGAGGAGGCTGGGGCGGGTGGGGCCTTCGTGGGGCCCACAGCGGTGGCCCCGTACCCCAGCTCTTCATCCGGCTGCCTGTGCTCGCTGCCCCAGGGACTGGACGGACAACAGCAGCTTGGAGGACGCCCACGGGCTCAGGTTTCTGAGCTGGGCTGGGACGATCCAGCCATGACGAGACGGCCCCTGCCCTCGAGTTCCCACTGCCTGGAGGCGGAGGTGCAGCTTCTGGTGCACCCGTGGGGTTTATGGTCGTAGGAGACATGAGCAGCCCGGCCGCGGAGAAATGGGCCCGGGCTCGGGGGGAGCAGTAGGTCGTGTTTAAGGGAGAAAGGGTGGGCTCGTGGGCTGGGACAGAGAGTCTGGGGACAGTGGTGGCAACAGGACCCAGACCCCATCCCTACTGGAGAGCGCCATGAGGGGCAGACCTGTAGGTGGAGGCTGGGAGGGGCCCAGGTGCTTCCCCTCCGTCCACTGGCGCTTTGGAACAGTCCCCGCCCCCTCCCAGAACCTCAGCACCTTGGTGTTACTTGGAACCTGTGCTGCTGGGTAATCTGGCCTCGCCCTCCAGCCCTGGGGACACCAGAGACCCCAGAGCCCTGCAGTACACTGCGGTATTGAAGTGGGCACCTGCCCATGCTGCCTGGCCTTGGTGGTACAGCTTGGTCAACGAGAGCACTTCCTTACCTGAGCCTCAGGTTCAGGGCCGTGGTTTTGTGTGGACAGCTCCGCTGTCTGTATCCTCCATGCCCCTCCCGTGTCCTCTCGGTGTCCGTCTGTTCTGCCCCACCTCCGCAGGCCAGCTGAGGCCCCAGCATGTCCCGTCTGGGACGACTTGCCTCTCTCCCAGACAGTCAGCACCACTCTTTTCAATGTTGACGTCATCTGTCTTTGGATCGGAGGTGGCTGAGTGGGGAGGCATGATGGAGAGAAAGAATGACTTCACATTCACTCAGTTTCCCTAGGACAGTGTGCCTGTGGATGGTATTAAACGCTCCAGAACCTCCTCAAGTAATGAAATGCCTAGTTGAATTCCGGAGCTTCTCCGCAAAATTACCTGGGAGGCTCTGACTAGTTAGGTACATCTTAACCTTCACAGCATGCTTGGTCCAGTCCGAAGTGTCTGTCTGTTGGGGCCACCCCGCTGCCCCACCCGCCTCCTTGTCCATTGCTTATCGAATGTTTAAAAGGTTCTTCAGCAGTCAGGTAACTTGGCCCTTGAAGGGTCTTTCTGCCCAGTACCTCCTCCCTGGCTTCATAGATACCTTTGCTTCTCGTGGTGCCAGGAGATGTTATCCCCTGAAATCTTTTCATGTCTAGGGTTGAGTCCCTTCCATCGGGGCAGGAGAATTGGAAAAGGTTGGTGGAGATGCTGCTGGCCTCAGGAGGCTATGTAAAAATGCTGGTCCTCTGTTGATTATGACGGCCCTCAGTTATTTCCACTGTACAACTGTGTATTGTGTAATACACAGTATAGTTATTGTGTGTGTATATGTGTTTAATCTACTGAAACTCATCGTTCTCCTTTCTTCCCCCTCTCCTTCCTCGATTTAGGTTTCTTGAAATCCAGAAGCCCAGGCTCTGTAAGATGCTTCGTGTCCTTGCCTTTGCTTACCCCTACACCTGGGACTCCTTCCCCATCTTCTACAGGGTAAGGGGCCTGGCTACACTCCCTGGTGACACCAGCAGCCAGTTCTTTCCTGCGTTTTGGGGGTGGGGGGCAGCATGCTGGGCGCTGTAGACACGCAGAGTCAGGACACAGATGCTGCTGTAATGGCGCCTGCAAAGATGGCAGCCACAGAGGCCCCGACAAACAAAACGAGATGCACAGGCAGCCGTTGCTGACTGGGGCTCCGGAGCAATCACGGAGGGCTGGGCAAGGGAGGCAGCCTGCGGTTCAGGAGAGTGACTCTAGTACTTACTCGCTGCAAGTTCTTGGGAAAGTTACCTACCATCTGTATGCCTTGATTTCCCTTATCTGTAAAATGGGTATGATAATACCACTTTCTCTTACCCAGTGTGGGGAGGATTAAATGAATTAACATGTAAGCTACTGGCTTGTGTTAAGAGTCTAATATGTGCATTATTACATCTTATTATCAATTAATGTATTATTAATATTGAAGAAAAAAGTATTGTTGAAGGTTTTAAAGGATTAGATGGAGAACATTAAGGAAGAGGGTGTAGGAGGGAGAAAAAGAAGGGGGAAGGTCCATGCACTCTCAAGTCTCGTGGGCCTGAGCTCAAGTCCTGGCCCCACTGCTCACTGGCTGTGTGACCTCAGGCAGTGTACATAAGGTCTCTGAGCCCCTGTTTCCTCATCTCTAAATGAGGCTAACATTCCCCCCTTCGTAGGTGGTAGTGGGCATTAAGCAAAACAGTGGTTCTGAAGGGCTCAGCGGTGCCTGGCACACAGCCAGTGCTCAGAGGGCAGAGTTCCCTCCCCTCCCCATGGGTCTGCCTCGTGAGGTCCAGATAGCCATGCCAAGGAGAGAAGGGAAGGCGGAGCCGGCTCCCCGAGCTGCGTGGGCCTGGGGGAGACCCAGAGGTGGGGATAAGCAGCCCATTCCCCCACTCCTTCCTTGAGGGCACAGGCCCTGCACAGAAAAACACAGCTGAAAGAACAAGCTGGTCCCCTGCTCACCCAGTCTGCCTGATTCCAAGCTGTGTGCACTTCTGGCCTCGGCTGCATGGGACTAGGCCAGGCAGTGAGAGGGGCGGGCTAATTCTATTTAAACTTGTTAAGGGCATGGCCCTGAAACCAGCTTGCTGAATTCTGATCCAGACTTGGCCACTCATTAGTGGTTTGCAAATCACTTAGTTGCTCTAGGCCAGTTTCCTCACCTGCAAAATGGGGACCCTAGAGTTTGCTGAGGAGACCTGGTTGCACAGTGGTTAGGCGCTTGGCTGCTAACCAAAAGATCATTGGTTTGAACCCACCAGCCACTCCGCAGGAGAAGCACGTGGCAGTCTACTTCTGTAAAGATTACCCGTTGCCATTGAGTTGATTCCTACTCACAGTGACCCTATAGGACAGAGTAGAACGTGCCCCATAGGGTTTCCAAGGCTGTAATCTTTGCGGGAGGGGCCCTGGTGGTGCAATGGTTAAGAGCTCAACTGCTAACCAAAAGGTTGGCAGTTCGAATCCACCAGCCGATCCTTGGAAACCCTATGGGGCAGTTCTACTCTGTTCTATAGGGTCTCTATGAGTCAGAATTTATGCCATGACAACAGGTTTGGTTTGTTTTTTTTTTTAAACCTTTGCGGAAGCAGACTGCCACATCTTGCTGGGTTTGAACTGCCAACTATTCGGTTAGCAGCCAAGTGTTTAACCACTGTGCCACCAGGGCTCTTTCTATAAAGATTAGAGCCTTGGAAGCTCTATGGGACAGTTCTACTCTGTCATATGGGATGGCTATGATTTAGAATCAACTCGACAGTCGGTTTCGTTTTGTTTCTTTTAGAGTTTGCCTTGTGGTTATTGTTGAGGCTCAAAGGAACTGATGTAATGAAGGGCAAGGCCTAGTGCCCTCAGTCAATGGAAGCTACTATTGTTATTTATAATAATAATATTACAAAAACTGTACTTATGTTAAAACATGTAATGGCTGTAATTAACCCTTTTTGATGTCTCAGAAGGACTTCCAGGGATTTCTAGGCCTTAAAGTCTTAATTAGGAGTCCTGGGGTGGTGCAAAAGTTAAGTGCTCGGCTACTAGCTGGAAGGTTAGCAGTTCAAACCCACTCACAGGCACCTCAGAAAAACAGCCTGACGATCGGCTTCCGAAAGGTCACAGCCTTGAAAACTCTGTGGAGTACAGTTCTACTCTGCACACTTGGGGTTGCTATGAGTCGGAATTAACTCAACAGCAACTAGTTTGGTAAAGTCTTAATTAGGAGCCTCAGTCCTGCGGATGTGCTAGTTAAAAGTCAGTTCCAATGCTGAATATACCACTTTTTACTACATTTGCATTTTACTGCAAGAAAGAAGGGTGGCAATGTCTGTAATAGGATTTTCTTCTCCTTTCCTCTCCTCTCCTCTCTTCTCTGTTCTCTGTTCCCGCCCTTCTCCTCACTTCCCCTTCCTTTCTTTTTTATAATTAAATAATCCAAAAGGCTCTGATGAGCACTGAAAAAAAAAAAATTGCTGTGGAGTCAATTCTGACTCATAGTGACCTTATAGGACAGAGTAGAACTACCCCATGAGCACTGAGGGAATTAAAATACAAAGGCCTGGGTCTCAGTCTGTCACACTCAGCAAAGAATCCTGCCCACAGGGTCACTGAGAGTTCTCCCTTACAAGCCACAGACCCTAGGAAGTGAAGGCCTTGGCCTGTGAAGTCCATGTGTGTGTACAAGATGTGTGGGTGGCAGAGTCCCCACGGTCTCAGCTACAGGTGACAAGAGGAAAGACGGCCTTCCTAAGGTGTGTCCTCCACTCGAGACCTGACGTATGTTTAAATACCTGCAGCTGTTCCTGTTCCCCGGGGAGAGTGCACAGAACGAAGCCAGCATGTACCATCAGAAGCACATGGCCATGACCCTCCTGGCCTCCTTCCTCTACTCCGCACACCTACCTGAGCGCCTGGCTCCCGGACGCTTTGACTACATCGGTGAGTGTGAACTGGCCCTGCTGCTCAGGCCCTTCTGAGTGGGGCCAGGGGTCCCACCCCTGACACCAGCGCACCCAGCTGCAGAGAGGCAGGTATTGCGGGGAGAGAAGCATCTCTTCAGGAATGATGCCATCCCAGACACACGTTTTAAGTCTTTCACCAAGTTCTCCAGGCACGGGCAAGGGTAGAGCGAGACCGTAAGCTGACGGTGCCAAGGTGTGTGTAGTTGATGCACTGCCAGGTATGGTGGAGACAGATGGAGAAGAAGTGGGGCCCAGCACCCTAAAGCCTTCCTTTCGGGTATGAGGCCGGGGTGGTCCCATTATTACCTAGAACATGAAACCATGTTAAATGAGCGTCGAGGAAAGACAGGATGCCGATGGCACTAAGGGTACCAGACAGCAAGGGGCTGTGCAGAAGAGGGGAAAGTGTCTGTTTTGTTTTGTTCATGGCAGGCGGGAAGGGGCCAAGGGTTATGGCAGAGCAGTGGGTCTCAGGTGTGGGATCCAGACCAGCAGCATCAATATCACTTGGGAACTTGTTAGACATGTAATTTCCCAGGCCCCACCCCAGAAATCTGGAACCAGAAGCTCTGCGATGGGGCCCAGCAGTCACAGAGTCCGTGTGATTCTCCAGGTGAACCTGAGCTCACTAAAGTTTGAGAAGCATGAAGTCAAGAGCAGGTGTAGGAGCCGTGAGGTTTTCACCTGCTGGCTCTTTCTCACCTCATCTAGGGAAGGTGGGGCAGGGCTCTGCAGATTGTCTCCCAGCCCTGGGTCTGGGATGGCTGGGAGGAGGGCACCCTTGGGTCACTTTGGGTGATGCTGACAAGTCTTTGGGATGAGAGTTCCTTAGATAGGCTATTGTAGGAGTCAAAGGGTCAGTCATTGTCCCCATCTGGTGGTCAGGAACCTTGGCTGTTCCCCAAACCCATCTTGTCCATGGTTTTCCATCTCCTACCTATGAGCTGTGGCCAGCTTTGCTTTGTTGGATTTGGTTAGTGTTGTCTTCTTCTTCTCTGCTTCCAGAAGGGGTTTCAACTAGCAAAATGCTTATAGGGCAGATTTCAGAAAGGGAGGAGGACAAGAGGCCAGGGAATTGAAGGATGCAAGAACCTGCCCACCAAACCCACCTCCCCAGACATGCTTTGGTTAAGCAGAGGTAGCCACGGATGAGGTCTTGGGGGGCTGCAGGAAAACTAGTCCTGGGCCTGATTTCCAGCTCTCTGGCTTCTTAATAACATTTCATTTATTCGCTTATAGCACCTTCTCTTGGGCCTAGGGGTGCAGAGCAGAAAAACACCCCTATGTGTGTGTGGGGGGGGGATTTGTCAGACAGCATTAGAATCAGACAGGCCATTAACAAGAGCTGGCCGTGGGACTCCCTCTCCAAGGCTAGTCCGTGAGCCTCTATGGAAAGTGCTAGCCCTGGAATGATTGGTGTTGACCCACAGGAAGCCCCTCCCTATTCCTGTTAGGCAGGATTGCTGAAATCACTCTTCCTGCTGCAGCCACATTTCAGACAGGTCCAGGCCTTTTTTTTTTTTTTATCTCCTGCCCAAATAGAAGCAGGTTTGAGCCTCAACTGGTGAATGTAGCCCATCCTTGGAGGCTGTGCCCTTGGAGAACACAGCTCTCCACTGGACAAGAAACCATGTTGTTGTATCCCACACAGATCTGGAAATCTTACGCAGCCCATTAGTATAGCTTGAGGAAGGCACCTTCAGGCACACCTTCTTCCTGGGGGCACAGACCCAGATGCTGGGAGCTCCTTGCTGTAAGGAACTCACCAGACATCCACTGGAGAATTCTCAGCCTCCTATACTCTTATTTCTGACTCTGCTTCTGCTCTATAGTGCAGGTGGTCAGGCAGGTTCATTCCTGGGACACGTTTATTGAGTGCTTCCTCTGGGATAGGCCCTGGAGAGATAATACTGACCTTTTTTTTAACTGAAGGAGAGTCCTTCCTCAATTCCCATATGGTCTTCTCATCTTAGTCCTGGTTTCAGAAGGTTGTCCCCCAAAGTGGTCCCCTTCCCTGGGCACTGGACTCTTTTTCTCACCAAACACCAAATCAGCATTCCCTGCCCACTCCTACCACCCTCTCTTGGGCTCCCACCCGCTGTGGGTTGGCACCAGGTGAGCTGGGTCCAGCATGCCATCATAGAGGAAAGGTTCTTGGTCATGTCTGTGGTTAAACAGCAGTAGGTAAGTGGCCAACAGCAAATCAGGCTGGCTTCTCCTTTGACACTGAAATCGGGATCTGTGCTGATCCGTGCTGGCTCTCTAAGGATGGGCTTTGGCAGAACATGCTGCCTACTTTTTCATCTGGATAATGGGACCGGTGGATAAGTTGCTTTTAAAATGAAATTGGCTTGCTCTGATGGCCTTTTTATTTAGCTCACATTACATTTTGAAACATTTTGAAACATGTTTTACATATCATATAATTCTCCAAGTTCCCATTTGAATATTACAATTCAGTGATTTGTTCTTGTTTTTAGTAAGTTTGCCAAGTTGTGCAACCATCACTATAAATCAATTTTAGAATATTTTCACCATCCCAGTAAGACCCCTGCTGGCCATATACTGTTAATCCTCAGTCCCACACCAAGCCCTAGGCAACCACTAATCTACTTTCTGTCTCTATGGGTTTGCCTGTCCATATAAATGGAATCATCCAATATGTGCCCTCTTGTATCTGGCTTCTTTCGCCTAGCATAGCGTTTTTAGCATATATGCTGTGTCATGTATCAGTACTTTGTTCCTGTTTATGGCTGACCTGCTGGCCTTTTGTGTGTTTGCTGTAGGTCACAGTCATCAGCTGTTTCATGTGTGCGTGATCCTGGCCACACACATGCAGATGGAAGCCATACTTCTGGACAAGACCCTGAGGAAGGAATGGCTGCTGGCCTCCTCCAGGCCCCTTTCTTTGCTCCAGATCACCGGAGCCATACTTCTGTGCATCGTCTTCACCCTCAGCAACATCCTTTATTTCTCAGCTGCTCTCTATCGGATTCCCGAGCCAGAATTACATAAAAAAGAAACATGATTCTGACCATAAGCTTTTCCTGCCGGATATCAACATTAAACTGCAACATCCTAACCATCGTACTTGGTACAATGGCCTAAAATATTCACCGTGATTGGTATCTCAGCTGTTTTGAGTGGGTTCACGTCAAAGAGGTATTTAACTTGGGAAATTTTTCTCAATGTGCACTGATTTTGTGTGTGGTTTTCAAAGGGGAATACGGGTTCGAACAAGTTCTTAAGGCAAATCATTAACATTTCTTTAAAGTTTTAAATTCATTTGAAACATGTTTTTCCATTCTATTTAAACACAGTTGGGTGAAGCGCACCACCCTGTAGCTTTGTATTACTCTTTGAAAATGGAACTTGCTCCACTTGGTCAAGCTCACGTTGCAAGGTTTCCCCTGAGAGCTTCAGGAGTGGTCTGCCAGCTACTTTGGGAGGAGTATGAGCAGGTGAGGTCACTGGGAGGACTTGAGAGAGAGGAAGTGTGTCTGTGGGGGCGCTGGGGATTGGGGTGCTGAGCTGGGAGGCATTCTGGAATGAGGAGACCGGGTTTGGGGAGGGGTCTTCTTCTCTTCCTCACCTAAAACCAAACCCAACCTGTTGCTGTCCAGTCGATTCCTACTCTTAGCAACCCTAGAGGACAGAGTAGAACTGCCCCATAGGGTTTCCAAGGAGTGACTGGTGGATTTGAACTGCCACCCTTTTGGTTAACAGCCTTTTGGTTAGAGTTCTTACCTGCTGTGCCACCAGGGCTCCTTCCTCACCTAGTGAAAGGAATAAGTAGGAGAGTCCCCTTTTTTTCCCACAAGTCCCTTCTGCCTTCAGAGTAGAAGTTCCCACATTATTGTGGATTTGGAGTTTGGAAGTTTTTTCTTAAATTCTATAGCCAATAGCTGGGTGTCATATGTTCTGTTATACTGTTTTCTTGTTGCCAGTTTGATGCCGTGAAATATTATGCAGTGCAGGTAAAATGTGTTAACTGTGGGAGTTGGCTGAATTAATATTAATTGTGCTCATCTGCCACCTTTTAAACCAATGAAGTGCTATATTTGAGGGTGTCATAGATTCGATATTGCTTCTGCATCTCAAATATGCTGCCCAATTTTGCATTCATGTACAGAGAATGTGAAAGACCTTGCCAGAGACATGGGCAAACGTAGTGATTCTCAAGCTTTACTGTGACTAAGAAACACCTGGCAAACTTGTGACACATGCAGATACCTGGGCCAAACCAGGAGGTTCTGCTTCAATAGGTTGAAATGCAGGTTCGTAGAGAAATCTGCACTGGACCACGTCTCCCCAGTGGTTTTAATGTAGGAGGGTCAGGGGCCAGATTTGAAGAAATGCTGTGCCTTCCAGAAGGCACTGGGGCTGCCAGGCTTATTTTGATTCATCTTAAGTTTCAGCAACTCAACACCCAAGTGTGTATCCCCCACTTTATGTTCAGGAACTTTCTTCTGCGAACAGTACTGAAACACCAGGCATTTTCTCGTCTGTTGCATTACCAATTAAAGTTCAGTATTTCATGGTGTTTTCAGGGAGGACAGAAATGCTGAGGCAAACCATTTTTAACGTAGGCTGATCATCCCCTGATCTGCACTTGCTAGTGACTTAGGGACTCTCCGTCACAATGCGGGATCTGCTGTGCTGACTCAGGAACACCCCCATGTCTTGGAATACAGCTCTACGATTAACCAGCCCAAACCCTGGAATGGCCTTATAAATAGCTCGTCATCCAATCCTCCAAGGCCAAGTAACAATTTATATTAGATGAGAGTGGTCAAGAAATATGAGTTTATTAATTTTATTATCTGCTTACTTCCTCTAGGAAAAGCAGACTGATAAAATAAAACTATATGGGCTGGTAAATTTGGGTACATCAGTTGCAAGCTGCAGTACAAAACTTGTTTTTTTTGGCAACAGTCTGACCCTGTTAGTGGAATTCTACACCAGCAGGGTCTGTGGATTTCCACTTCAATTTACTGTAACTTCAGTTTTATGGTGAAAAAAGGTACCAAGTTTAAACACCTTTTTCTATAATGCCAAAGACATAAAGACCGTTAAATTCTCTTGCTTATAGATAATAAAATAATGTTCTCAGTTTAGCTCAGAAATAGTTGACGGATAATGGATGATTAATTTGAAGCATGCTTGGATTATTTACTCTTGGCTCATGTTACTTTTTCATCATGCTTAATGACAAAAATAAAATGTTAAATCAACAGAATAAGATGATCAAGCATTTCATAATGTTTTGATGAGGTTGGTAAACTTTAGCCCCGTTGTACACTTTTAGAGAAGGTCACGAGTTAAAATTTTAAAACAGTTTACAGTACACTGATTTGGAAGCATTTCAAGTGAAATGAGAATGAGTTCAAATATATTATCAGTAAGTATTAAGTTATAGGCATCAGATGTCTAGTGTGGATATAGTTTTGCCCAAGGCAAAAAGGTGGGCAGCTGGTCATTTGAAGACCTCACTGGGAAGATGTCTGTTAATGCAGTGGGTCTCAAAAAAAAATTTTTTTTAATATCTCGATACACCTAACAGGAGATGTGCTGCTTCACCGTTGGTAACAATTGCCCCCCATGGCGCTGTCTCAAATGGGACTATTGAGGGGAGGCACACTCTGTGGGTTGTGCCACTGCCCCTCCCCCTGCATGAGAAACACTACTCTCAAATTTCACCAGACATTCTAGTTGTGATGAAACTTGAGTGTGTTTGAATGAGGCCATTCAGGCCAACTTTACCTCCCTTTACTCTTTGGAGGGTTCCATTTTCCATTGCTGTTTTTAGAGACTCTCCATCTTCATTCTAAAGAAATGAATTTGTGATTATTGAGCCCCCCGACCTTGTTTTTAAAATTGGGGGCGTTTTGAGTACAAAGTGATTTAACTATTTGGTCTACTGCAGTCTTTCTCAAAGTGGGGTGTGTGTGTGTGTGTGTGTGTGTGTGTATGTGTGTGTGTGTGTGAGTGTGGAACCCTGTTCCCATGAGAGGTTCTGGAAAAGGTAGAGCAGAGTAGAATGGTGGTGTCAGATGTTAGGGAAACTCTTCATTTGTATCTATTGTGTCTCAAACTTTTTTTAGCCATGGTACCCTTTTTAGTATTAACTACCTATTAACACTGTATAGCAACACTTTATATTAGTTGAATGTTGGTTTCTGATTTTCTAGTCAACAATTTGTATGGATGAAATGGCAAAGACCCACTTCCAAACTCAGAGATGTTCTTCCAGCTTACACTAATGTTTAGTTTTCTTGAACTGTATGAGAAAAATAAAATTTATTTATTATAGTAATGTTCTCCTGTTTCCCACTTAATTTGGTTATGTTTCACCTACCATACTGCAGGCATGTTTATTCACCATGAGAAATGGATTCCTGTACACGTGTGCATCGTTAATCAGTCAATGAACATTAATTTAGTGCCTGATATGTGGAGGCCAAAGAGACCTGGTGGTGCAGTGGTTAAGTGCTTGGCTGCTAACCAAAAGGTCAGCAGTTCGAACGCACCAGCTGCTCTGCAAGAGAAAAATGTGGCAGTCTGCTTCTGTAAAAATTACGGCCTTGGAAACTTTATGGGGAAGTTCTACTCTGTCCTATAGGGTCATTATGAGTTGGAATCAACTCAATGGCATACAACAACATAGCAAAAGAAAATCCAGGATCATGCGTTGCATTCATTTCTCAGGTCTCTTTAGTCTGTTTTACGGATTGAATTGTGCCCCCCCCCCCCAAATATTTATAGGAGCCCTGGTGGTGTAGTGGTTAAGAGCTTGGCTGCTAACCAAAAGGTTGGCAGTTCGAATACACCAGCTGCTCCTTGGAAACCCTATGGGGCAGTTCTACCCCGTCCTATAGGGTCTCTATGAGTCGGAATTGACTCGACAGCAATGGGTTTTAAAAATATGTATTGTAAATCCTAACCCTTATACTTGTGGATGTAATCCCATTGGGGAATAGGGTTGGTTTGTTATATTAATGAGACTGTATCAGGGTAGGGTGTGTCTTAAGCCAATCACCTCTGGGATATAAAAAGAGCAGATTAGGCATAGAGAAGCAAGCACAAATGGAGGGGAAGATACATACCACGTGAAGATTGCCAAGGAACCAAGGCACAGAAACTGAAAGGAGATAAGGATTTCCCCCAGAGCTGACAGAGGAAGAAAGCCTTATGCCAGAGCAGGTGCCTGAACGTGGACTTCTAGCCTGAACTGCGAGAAAATAAATTTCTGTGAGTTAAAGCCACCCACTTGTGGTCTTTCTGTTATAGCAGCACCAAGAGTCTAAGACAGTCTCGTTTGACCTGCAACAATTTTTAAGTCTTTCTTTGTATTTCATGACATTGACATTCTTCAAACTACAGGCCAGTTATTTTATAGACTGTCCCTTGATTTGTGGAATGCTTCCTTATGGTTAGATTCAGATTGCACTTTTAGAAGGAATATTACAGAAGGGATGGTGTCTTCTCAGTGCATGGTATCAGGAGGTACATGCTGTCACTTACTTCCATTATTAGCAATGTCAGCTTTGATCATTTGGTATCTGCCAGCATTTCCCACCATTCCCTTTATAATTCAGTTGTGGGAAGATACTTGGAGATTGTATAAATACCCTGCTCTTCAAACTTTCACCCACTAGTTTTAGTATCCATTGATAATGCTTACCTGAATCAGTTATGATGGTTGCCAATCTTTTTCAAATTTCATCATTACTTCTACATTTATGAGTTGGCTTTCTACTGTAAGGAAGAGTGTATGTATGTATGTATGTCAGTGTGGACTCAGGTAAGTATGTCAGTTTGTCCTACTGTGATGGCTTGAGTGTTGCTGTGGTGCTGAAAGCTATGCCACCAGGGTCACCCATGATAGACACGTTTCAGTGGAACTTGCAGACTAAGACAGACTAGAAAGAAAGCCCTGGTGATCTACTTCCAAAAATTAGCCAGTGAAAACCCTGTATTTCACAACAGAATATTGTGCAATATATTGCTGGAAGATGAACCCCCTAG